TTTTTTTTTTTTTTTTTTTGCTTCCATCAATTACATCATCCGGTCGACCCTAGTTCAATCATTGAACCTTGAACCTCTCTTTTTCAGTTCAATCTCTAATCAGATTTTTACAACCTTGAAAAATATCAAAATTATTTAAATGGCATATAAATGATATAATAATTATGTAATAATATAAATTTATAACTACAAAATAAATAAAATTCATACACAAATAATATATTTTATAATTTCAAATTTAAATTAAAAATGACATTTAATAATAAAATTAGTTCACATAAGTTATAGATATATATAAATATTATTATTTTTATATATATTTTATATTATTCATGCCTATAAATTATATAGAAAATTTCTATAATAAAATTGCAATTTGCAAATTCATGTTAGATTTATAATTAAAAAATAGTATAAATTAGTTTTTTATATTAATAAATAATTAACAATAAATAGATAAAAATTAAATATTAATAAATAAAAATTAAATCTTATCACATTACAAAAAATTAATTGAAAAAAAAGTGCTAAAATATAGAGTATATGTGTTTTGAACTTAAGAACTTCGCCTTGATTATTTAGTCGGACATCACTAAGCAATCTATTTACTATATTTTTTATATAACTTTTTATGTTCACTTGTGTAAAGAACTCACATAGGATTGTGGGGTCATATGAAGAAGCTTGGTTGGTACTTATTTGGAAAATGATTATTATAAAATTTTAATGCTCATTTTAAAAATTAAATATATTAAATTTAAATTAATTTATTAAGTTAGACATTTTGAATTAAATTTATTAAATTAATTTAATTAATTATCAAAATGAGATAGGAAATAAACCATCCAATTTTTGTAAACAGGTCAAAACCGTCGATTCTACACGGTTAAGGCCGGTTCATTGCGAAATTGATTCTGACAAATTATTGAACCATGCCGCACATCGGTTCCCAATTCAACTAGTTGAACCAACCGATCTGATCCGGTTTTTAAAACATCGCCTAAAACCCTTTTTTGCCTTGTTTTTATCTATGAGAAAGTAATGTCTTTCCGCTCTGGTACTAATATTGATTTTAGACTACAAATATACGAAATTGTGAACATCCTCAACAATTGTACATGCATCTTTTAGCTCTCTGAGATAATGACAATTACAGAAAAAGATAAAGTATCATTAAGTTTAATTCCATCAAAGAGTACTTAAGTTCTAATAGAGAATTACTTGCAGAATCAAAGTGAACGTAGAGCCAGAATTCTTATAACATGCATCATGATGATGTTGTAAGGGAATCTGGAAATGATTATCAAGTGATTAAAATGAACAAAATAAAATGTATTCATATGTTGCAGGAATGTAGCATGAATATCCAAAAAAAGAAAATAAAAGTGAAAATAGACAAAAAATTACTTGAGACAAGGAGATGGTGAATGTGGGAAAAAAATACTCTTCACATAAACCTGCACATTAGTTAGAACGTATTTCACAGTAAAGCCACAAAGCCAATGTATAAGCACGATCAATGAAAGTGTACTGAACAGTAAGATCTGGAAAAATAAAAGCAAGTGCTTTCATATGAGTATTGACATGAACAATCCAGTGAAGCTTTACAACTAGTTCTTAGCGCTACAAACAATATTGCATTCCTTTTGGTTCCATAAACAAAACAACTTGAGCCTAAGCAAGGTTGCATTCAGCTAGGGACGTCTTAAATTCCAGAGTTACTAAAAGCCTAACTAAGCCTGCTCACCCTGACATATTCTAATCACAAAGGAAATAGTTCACTACCATAATCCTCGATCAGTGCTTCAAGCATGCGGGTGAACGTCCATCTCTTGAAAATATATATTAATTAATAATAGACATTACCACGCACCTTCCAAATGAAACTAGAAATTTTTGAACAGTCCAAAACTGCTCTAACATGCTAAATGTTTGCAATTCTATTTGTTTCCCTTTTTTCGGTATAATGACAAAGCAATATCAAGTGGTTCACATAAAAATTGATAGAAACTCCTCTAAATTTTCATCACATGTGTAATACACAAACAACTGACCAACCTCTCTGCCATATGCGATCTATGAATAAAAATTCTAAATCATTTGGGATCTGAAAAACCAAACGTTATAACTAATATGATTCCAGAATTAGGTGTGCGGATCAATTTGGAATCCATGGGGATTTTTATAAGAAAATGAATTAGGTTTCTATACAATCCTTTTCTTTATTGATTTCAGTTTTGCAGAGGACAGCAGCGAGTGGTGGATGGTTGGTGGTTGCTGGTGGACCTTGGCCACAACAAGGGATGGGCAGAGCCGCAGAGGTGATAAAGGTTGAGGGATGTGGTCCAGCTGCTAATTAAGCTGTTGTAGAACAAAAAAAACCCTAGAAGGGTGGCTGATAGCAGAGAGAAGAAGAGCAAATGAAAAAAAAAAAGATTTAGGAAAAAATTTCTATTCCTTCAATTCCAACTTAAGATTTACATCTAGAAAATCCGTCACAAAATTCAGTCACAGTTTTAGAGAAAAAAAATTATGTTGCAAAGTTTACCGCAAATTAATGACT